ACCAAAAGGAGAATGTGCGTGTTACCGCTGCTTGACCGCTACACCAAGGACACGATATCAGAGATTTGAACTGTGTTGATGAGCTTATCAGAAGTGAACCATCGATATCAAGATGGATCGATAAGAGCCTGAGGATAAGAGAAGTCAGAGGATGCCTGTGTCAGTGAAGGTCAGAACCGGGATGAGCTCGATTATGACATAAGTAGCGGACGGGCAAGAAAAAGCATACAAACAACAGAACAAACTGTTCCAAAATAAAATAAAAAAGGAGCTGCACCCCATGCGCCCTCGGGGAGTGGAGCCCCGGACCGAATCTTAAAGCCACGTCCGTACTTACTTGTAGCATTATTACCGCTGTACTAAGGGCGCGATGTAGATGCTCATTTCTTAGTGTCTTCTCTCCAGGCTGCGACATGCTTGCTCGGCAACATTCAATATTCGGCGCCTTGGGCGGGTGTGCACGTACGGCATGCGAAGAGTATCGGGAGGCCGACGCCGGCGCACGCCCTAAAACGTAATGTGGAATGCACTGCCGTCGTTCAGCACTCAGGCGCCGGGGCGAAATTCACACAGTGCGCAGGTTGCGCCCGGTCTATCACCTAATAACACAGAATGAGGCACGAAATCCAAAGCAGATACATATACCTGAATGTGGGATGAAGGAGCTGACCTGTGCCTATGTTGCCCAATCCGAATTTAGAGTTTACGCCTGAGTTCTGAAGAGGAAGGAGGCGCTGACGTTGTGTGAATGAATAGGATGCGGAGAGTTCGCCGCGCGTGGTATGTGCGGCGCAGCACGCAGGCGCTCATCAAAACGGGAACTATAGGCAGAAGCTCACCGCGCTTTGTGTGGTAGGCGAGGCGCCGATCAGGGAGGCGCGTTACGTGCAGTACGGGATATCAAGTTGACACCATACTGAGTCCTGCGGTAGAGACGGGTCTCATTGAATTGGTTTAGAATTGGTCGGTATCTCGTGTAGTTAGGGCGGAATTAGAGTTTGCCGAAAGGATTGGCAGGAGAGTACCAGTGCAGGGCTGCTAGTCCGCATACCCACGGAAGCGGAAGGAACGCGCACTGATCGTGGATGGGTACTTGTAAATGCGCCGACCGCATCGGTGGCGGTAAGTACGTGCTGCAGCTCACAATTGAGGGATATCCCGACAGTTGCGGTACTTGGGTTGTTAGTGCGGGTCGAATTGGTAGTTTGTGCACGAAGGCCGTTGATCATTGATCGTTGGCGGGGAGTTCGCCGCGCGTGAGGCGCCGAAAAGTCGGGCCTTGTCGTAAGTCGTCGATATCTGCACGTCGGCTGCCACTGGGCCACGACGACGGCTGGGCGTCGTATTACATACCCAGCCCGCAAGAAGTGAACCGGTTCGCGGCTCACGCGGCACGCAGGCGTTCTGCTCCTCAGTCAGCAGATAGCGTGCCTTTCGCTTGGGTGGTTCAACAACGAGAAAACGAGCCCTTGTCGATTAAATCGGCGCTGAAAACGTGCAGAGACCCCGTGCAGTCTAAGTCGGAGGACCGACCCGGGGAGCCTGCGCTTCTGTGCTTGATGGGGATGGGAACTTAATATTGCAGGATTCAGGAGCTTGGGCCATTTTTTACAAGAGAGCGGACTTAGTCTCCAGAGCCTATAGACTTGGCTCCCAAACCAAGGACTGTCATAGTGGCGAGTATGCCAAGTTCAGACGTTGAGGGCTTGGCGTACATTTATGGACGATGAGAAGACGCGGTGGTCAAAAGCAAAAAAAAAAAACACAGCCACAAACAGTGGCAAGCATCAATCGCTGAGTCTTCACCGAAACGCTCACCAGAAACTACAGGCTTGCTCTGTTTACTCATGGACGACTCTTAAGCGGTTTGGCTTAATAACGAGGTAGTTTCGTGGCAGTCAGCCGCAAGAACCCTCGGGCTCATGATCATAACGACAGGCAAGGAAGCTCTTCAATGACGGGAAACGGCCAAGCTATACGAGGCCGCAAACAAAGCCGACACTCTGAACTCTCCCATCTACCTCTCAAACTTGGCCTTGGTGGAGCTCAACTGCAGCAGTCAGTGTTCCATTAATAAAACCGTCGCGCGAATCCAAGGCCTACCTCGATTTATCTAGGCCACAAAGGGCGGAGATTAGTGCGACGCTCGCACTTTTGCGAGATCCCCGTTTCACCAAGGCCCGATATCGGCGTGCTATTTCGCGCTGGAAGCAAGACAGACATATCGACGCTCTCGTTGACTTGGGTAGCGTGCTCACGACGGATCCAATGGACAAAGCGGCGGCAGCCAAGTTTACGACGATTTTGAGCGAGCATGAGAGCTTGGGGAGCGGCCGTGGCCACCTGAGCGCTATGGCCATCCTGATGGCGGACAACCCGTCAGCTTACGCTCAGTAGCCGCACCTCGCCCCCCTCAAAATGCATCCCTGGCGCCCCAGTCGTGATTCCGAATGTCAGCTCGCGTACTCCGAAGAATCTCAGAGCTGGGACGTGTGCATCGTGCAAGACCGTCAAATGGATGCGGGAGATAAAGACCTGCCGTGGGGTTCGTACATGATCGTCTGCCACTAGAATTGACCTTTCTGACACGGTCATTCAGTGCTCCACCGCCGTATACTGCAACGAGGTGTGTCAGCGAAACCATTGGTGCGTCAAATCGTCCCAGTTCAATGCTCAAACCGACCTACAGTATTGACGTTACACCGCGACGTAGGCCGCAACACAAAAAAGACTGTATCCGATACCCCGATCACGACGTCCTTGCCATGCACCTCTGCAAAACCCTATTGGACCACAAATACATCCGGATGCATCTCATCTACGCCATGCGATCTATCGGCGCGCTGCACCACTCCCCTCCCCCGTACCTCGCCGTCCTACTGGTGTTCATCAAAATGGTGCCAGTCGCAAGCGGTCCTAAAGCCGCACGGAAAAAGCAGCGGCTCTCCATTACCAACGTCATCACCGCGCCCCTTGGCGTCTTCGACGAAGACACGCGAAATTCCTGTGTCGACCAGCTTGAACAGATGCGCGGGACGTGTAGGATGCCCGGGGCGCCAGGCGTCGCGCTCGTCGCGACGCCCTTCCTTGGCAGAGGGCGCGAGGCGGACAAGTCGAGGTGCTTGATATTCATGCATCGCGTCGTGCCGGAGCTGGTGATGATGGCGACGCAGCCGGCGTTCCAGAAGCTCATGAGCTTCGAGAGTCATCCGTTTGGAGTTGGGAGGACGCTCACGGCTGATTTGGACGAGCTTTATTGGTGGCCGACATGTCCGAATCGTTACGGTGACTCGACCACTAATCCGGCGTTTGTATAGGAATGTCGAGGATGAGCTTGCAAATGACACAGAAAATTACTATGGGTTGCAAGGTTGAAGAATGTCGGATAGATTTGTTTCCCGGTGAATACTTGCTTCGTCAGACTTGGGCGAGCTCTTTTGGTGGGCACATCCGACTCTTGCCGATGATCCTCTCTACTGACTTTGCGTTCAAAGGCCGGCGAGCGGCACAGCCGGTGCCGAAGTCATTTTTGGAGACGCGGAAAATGCCGGCCGTGTTGGAAGCATGGTACGCCGTGCGATGGACTACTGGAACAACATTGATTTTGGATTTGTCCAGGGCATTTGCTTTGGTGATCATGGTGCAGAATCGTCATGCACTGTGCGTTTCCTTCATTTGTTCTGTTTTGGCGCCAACAGGTTTGGACCCATTCGATGTCCGAATACCCCCAATTTCTTGTACTCATGTGCTTCATTCCTGAAATTTCAAAGACTACTTGCTTGTGTATTGAACCCCTGTGCTCTTTCCAACTCGTTCTTCCGCCAATCAGCGATGCATAATGCCCACCTACGGATTACCCCAAAGCGCCGCCGTACACCACCGAAACAAAATAAATAAATAAGAGAAGTGCCGAGTGCCGCCGCATATGGGCTCGAGCCGGTGGTCGAACAGGCAGTGTGTACATAATTCGACGGCGTCGAAGCATCGAAAGTAGATATCGATGCGGAACCACCCGCAACCGAGCCTTACAAGCTCCGTTTTGAACTGCCTTTGTTGAGGGGTTCCTGTCGCATAACGAATTTAAAAGAGTTTCCAACTCCAGAGGTAGGGCTCGAGTTTGAGTCAAACAGGCAAATGTAGCGGGTGCGCTGGGTGAATTGGTTCAGAATAGAGCGGTGATCCATCCATCACGGCATCACCACATTCAAACCCATGCAGTCACTTATCTGTGTATGAGTACACCGAACTTCAGAAGGTGCTCTGAGGAGCTCACTGGTGTGCAATATTGTGTTTGTGCATATATTTCAATCCCTGTTGGAGAACATACTATGTACAGTCGGCGGTTAATCGGATGACATCGAGAATTGCCCGAAGAATACGATAGCTTCCCCAACAGTATTAAATTGAGATTTATCGTACCTCTGAAGCAAAAGGATCACTATGATCTGAATATCCGAGTCATGTGGGCTTTGGAGAACTCGGCGGATGGGGACACAGTCCTCGAAAGGATGGACACTTCTGCAGACGATCTTCATCACCGAAAACTCGCCGCTTTCAACGTGAGTAGCATCCATAACCGTCTCGTACTTTCAGTGCCTTCAGGCGTATAGATAGACATGGAGAATAAAACCAAAGCCTAATACTGCGCGCACTTGTTCGTCTCCGATCTTTATTGGTTCCCTTCCAGGATGGGATCCATCTCACCTGATATCCTTGACAGAGGATATAGCCTTGCTCTCAGCCAGTCGCAGTTATTATACCAAATCAATTCGCTTCGATGTAGCCCATCTATTGATGATGAGGCGTCGGGAGATGCATTCTGCGAGGCCACAGGCCTAGGCTCAGCCTGTTTTGACGCAGATCTCGCACTGGCCGTGAGTAAACCCACGGGGGTGAACTGTGCTGCCCGTTGAGGTTATACCCGTTCATGGGAGTCAGAACAGGGACGAGCTCTAATATGAAAAAAAAAAAGAAGAAAAAAAAGATTGACTTGCGGAAAAGGCGCCCTCGGGGAGTCGAACCCCAGACCAATCCAATGGGTTGTGTGTTACCGTTACACCAAGGACACTACATCAGCGGCCCAAAATGATGGATCTTGTCCTCTTAGATTCCCGAAATTTTAGAGGGAAATTTTTTTTTTCCACAAAAAAAAAAAACTTCCTGATTTGTCATTAGACTCGAACCCCGGACCCAATCTAGCCTTGGGCATTCATTCAACAGACATGGATTGGGTGTTACCGCTACACCAAGGACGTTACACAGTGTACACCCTCCAACCAATGGATGGACCCCCCTAGGTTGATTCTGACCATCAATCTCAGTATCAATCAAAAATTAGTGAAGATCAAAAGGTTCCCCGGTAGGGAGAGGAGGTCAGAACAGGGACATCAGAAACGAGGAATAATAATTGAAAGGTTCAAAGAGAAGGGGGGAAAAATAGAAGAAATTATCCAGGCGTCCTCGGGGAGTCGAACCCCGGACCAATCCGAATCGTTGAAAGACTGTGTGTTACCGTTACACCAAGGACACAACATCAGAGGTTCGAACTGATGGAAACAAATGTCTGTTGTAAAATCCGCATTGGTCCAAAATTTAGTGCTGTTCCTTTATTTACTTGGACACGGGTGGCTTTGGCAGATGTATTGGTTATTTCAGTGGCATGAAACGGACCTGCCAAAAGGAAGTTTGAGTCGGCGAGTGAAAGAAATATTTTTCAACACAAAAGCAATTGTCCGGGTATGGCATGCGCCCTTGGGGACTCGAACCCCGGACCCAATCCAAATTCTTTCCAGTGTCTATATGAGAAGTACTACTCGTAGATTGGGTGTTACCGCTACACCAAAGACATGATATCAGCACCCAAAATGATGGAGACCATATCAATGCAGTGAACAATCGATAATTGATGTGAAGAGAAGGGTCAGAATAAGGACGGGATGGTAGATACGGATAATAATGGAAAGGTTGAGGAAATAAGAAAGAGAAGGGGGAAAAAATCAAGAAATTATCAGGCATCCTCGAGGAGTCGGACCCCGGGCCAATCAAGTGCTTATCGACTGTGTGTTACCGTTACACCAAGGACGCTACATCAGTCATTTGAAATGATGGTTGAATGATGGTTGTCCTTCTCTGCCTAAATTTTGCATTGTCCCGAGAAACGCTGTGAAGGTCCGAATTAAATTGTGTCAACACAGGTGAAGCAAGCAACCGGCTGGGGCGGAGGGAAGCCTGAGCCTGAGCCTGGGCAGAGAAATGAAAAAAAAAATTTTGCTTGTTGCCAAACCAGGCGCCCTCGGGGAGTCGAACCCCGGAACAATCCAACGATGTTATAGATCGTGTGTTACCGTTACACCAAGGACGCTACATCAGCGGTCTGAACTGATGGGCACAGATGTCTGCTGCTTAAGTTCCGCATTCGAACTGTGCCCGAAAGAAGGAAGAAAAACGATGATAATCCATCAGATGCGCCCTCGGGAGTCGAACCCGGACGCAATTCAAATATATTCGAACACCAAAAGGAGATTGTGTGTTACCGCCACACCAGTTAAGGGTAAATACCAGTCCTTCTGATTCAATCAACGGAGATCACACCATCGTGGTACTTCCGAACAATCGATATCAATACTGGTACGGATCGTCAAAAGGATTGGTGCAGATTAAGAGGTTCACTGAGGTCAGGTCGCGAACAGGAGAAAAGTGATAATGCAATTACCAACCAACAGCACTCGAATGAAAGAAGACAGAGAGAGAGAGAGAGAGAGAGAGAGAGAGAGAGAGAGAGAGAGAGAGAGAGAGAGAGAGAGAAACAAAAAATAACAACGCATCATGATTAGGTGTCCTCGGGGAGTCGAACCCCGGGCCATTCGAAGTGGCTAAAAGCCGGCAAGTGAATGCGTGTTACCGTTACACCAAGGACGCGATACCAAAGTCTCAAAATGATAGATCAAGCTGGGCTCTTAAATTCCACATCTCGCATCTCGCACCTTGTACTGGTGTTCATTTGTGCTATGCTCTTCGCTGGCACTGGTACACATGAAGCTTGGCATGGCAAGGGGAAGGCTGGGTCTCGTCACAGTTTGAAGGAAAAGAACGAGGAAGAAAAATAAATCCTCAAACTTCGAATGCGCCCTCGGGGAGTCGAACCCCGGATCCAATCTAACTTATTCCATGTGTTCACTTAGAATTAGATTGTGTGTTACCGCTACACCAAGGGCGCGATATCAACATCACACCTTCCATCAAATATCACGATCAATCAAGATTATTAGTGCAGACAAAAAAAACGTTCACTAAGGTCAAAACAAAAACTCGCCTCAAAATAATCAAAACCTACATACCAAGTCTGCCCGATAGAAAGAAAGAAAGGAAGGAAGGAACAAAAAAGAAAACAATTTGAATAAACTGCTATAGGCGTCCTCGGGGAGTCGAACCCCGGACCATTCGAATTGGTGGAAACCGAGCTGTGAATGTGTGTTACCGTTACACCAAGGACACGACATTGCAACCTCCAAGTGATAGAAACAGATCTCATGCTGTCTGAGGTTCTCTTACATTCCGCATCTTGCGATGTTGGTCTGGCAAGAAAGAGCAGAAGCCTGAGTGAGCCTGAAGGGGGGACTGATACTCAGTGGCGGGTCAAAAGTTTAAGGGAAAAAATGGAGGACCAAGGTAAAAAAACGACGCTGGCATTGTACTATGCGCCCTCAGGAGTCGAACCCCAGACCCAATCATGGAGTCCCATCTTATTGCCACGAACAGATTGTGTATTACCGTTACACCAAGGGCGCGATGGCGTCTTGTCATCCTGCGGATCTGTAACGATGCTCATTTGTCTTTGAGTTGCGTGCTACAGCACTTTAGAATGCCGGCGGCAACTTACAAAGACAACACTCGAAGAGAAACGTAACACGCTCGCCGTCGCTCGACATTGAAATTCGCACAGGGCGCGAAGATGCCGATCAGGGCGCTACTGTTTACGAAAGGGCGCTCCGAGTCTCGGTTTGCTCTCGGTGACCATACTGTACTCCAAGACGTATCGATCTGAGCGCATAGATGTGGGGTACAGTATACCCCACATCCCACGTCGATATCCCGCGTGGAAATAGAGTTTGCGCGCGAGGCGGGGGTCTTTGATCGATATCATTCAGTTGATCGCGATTCGTTGGCGCCGCACGCCTGCGCCGAGGGAGTTCACCGCGCGTGCGCCGCTTGTACAGTGTATACGTAAACACGCCGACAAGTGCCGACAAGACGCGTACGGCCCTTGTCGTAAAAAGGTTGGACCCGCCGCGCCGCAAGCTGGTTTGTTATCCTTCTGTGAATCTGCTCTGCCATACATAGCTAGGAAGAGACGATTGGTCGCTACGGCACTCTGACATATGAAACGTGGCAAGGGGCGAAGAAGCATGGGGCGTGGGCATGGGCACCGTGATTCGTGACGGAGGCGCAACGGTGAACATCAGCCGTGCGAAAGGCGGGTGCATCAGAAGCATCGTCGGAGAAACATGGAAGACGGACGCGATTGAATCGACCCCGGGTCCCGGGAGCACGGCGCTTCGTGTCAACCTGCAAATTACAATAATCAAAAGAAACCGAGTGCTGAAGGGCGCTCCGCTCACAGTCTGTTAATGCCGAGGTTGTCACTGTTGAGAAAGAGATCGGCTTGATCGGCTTTGCCGAATCAACTCGAAATGGCAATTTGTGTGGCTGTGCCTTATCTTGCTCTTTACACGGAGTTGACACGGAGGATGGAATTAGCTTTGGGCCTGCTCACCAATCTGCAAAAGTCCAATCCCGTGCGCACAGCTCCTTTTCAACACACGTAGTGCGCTTGTTTCTTGCGCCGATCAGTCGTATCATTGCACTCCTCATTCGGGGTGAAAGGAACTTCAACGGCGCGTCTCCACTGCACTCGGATCGGAGCCTCAGCACCTCGTTGCGGGCCACGCCGAAATACAGCGGCTCTACCTTATACCTTGTCCGCGCTGTCTATAATGTGCTCGACGTCCCGCACGGTGGAAATGCAGGCCGAAGACAAGATTCGTGAATCCTCCCTGCATGCAATTTTCGTTGCCGCTCCTTGTGACGTCCACCCCGCGATACCGCTCGTATCCGTGA